TCGACGATATCTTTATGGTCTGGACCGAAGGTTTAGATAACCTAAAAATTTTCGTCGATTATCTTAACAATATCCACCCCACCATCAAATTCACCAGCTCACACTCTTCCACTAATGTGGCTTTCCTTGACGTAAGTGTCTCTTTAACCACCGACGGTAATATCTCCACTGACCTCTACACCAAACCCACAGACAAACATATGTATCTATTGCACTCTTCTTGCCATCCATTACATACCAAAAAAGCCATTCCGTTCAGTCTAGCACTCCGCCTACGACGTATCTGTTCTACAGATAAAGCTTTTGAGACTCGCGCCGCTCAACTTACCTCATACCTTCTCAAACGAGGTTACAGCCATAAATTCGTCACCAAACAAATACAACGCGCCGCTGACATCTCCCGCACACTCACCTTACAAACTAAAGACGTAAAAAAACCTAACCGTATTCCATTTATAACTACTTTTAATCCGTCGCTTCCTCACATCTCCAACATCATCAAAAAACACTGGCATCTACTGCAGTCTTCTAACCGCTGCAAAAAAGCTTTTCCTCAGCTGCCAGTTGTCGCCTTCAGACGCTCCCCCAACCTTCGCGACACATTAGTAACAGCCAAACTCCCCTCTAATTCTACCACTTCCCATCCTCAACTCCCCCCCGGCTCTTTCCGTTGTGGTAGAAACTGCGCTACTTGCCCCTACATCTCTGACGGTCTTACTAACTATACCTTTTTTTCTACCGGCGAAACACGTCCCATTAAATCTCACTTGACCTGTGACACTAAAAACCTTATCTACTTAATTCAGTGTAACCGCTGTAACTTACAATACATAGGAGAAACTAAACGACGTTTAAAAGACCGTTTTAATGAACACCGCCGTACCATTGATAAACCTAACTCTAAATCTAAACCTACTACAGCGGCAGAACACTTCATTTCCTCTCCTAACCACTCTGCTCACGACATGGAGCTAATCGCCATCGAAAAAGTGTTTTCCAAGAGAGACTCGATACGCAAGGCCAGGGAAGCTTTTTTAATTTCAAGAGGCAACACTATTTATCCAGATGGCCTTAACGCTCGCGAAGAAATGTATTAGTTTCTAGTTATTTATCCAATTTACCTTACTTCATTTCTATTTTTGCTCACTATTTCTATTTTTATTGTTATCTCATTGTCAATCAAATTAGTTTTACATATTTCCGCTGTTACATCATACAGCTATCTATGAAGCATCACCCCAATTCTCTGTTAATTCCCACTGCACCTGAAGAAGGCTGGTTTGGCCAGCCGAAATATAGTGCTCCGTCTTAAAATTTACTTATCTACGTTGTATCGGTCTTGCCTCTATATTTATATTTCATATTCGTTATTTTGGGCCGATCAGATCATCGCTGATCCAACGTACAAGAGTAGGAGTATCGTCCACGGTTGCCTGCTGAACATTTCACAATTGTTCATCAGTCTCCGTTAATTTCCCACGCACGAGATTACTGTGTGATGGATGTCCTCCCCTGGGGTGGGATGGGTGGTTAACAGGACCCCCGTTGATAACAGTGTTTACTACACTGAAGGGGCTATCCTGTATAAATATAGATGTCTGTCTGTCTGTCTGCCTACTCCCAAGCACTTGGTGACGTTGTTCGATGTTTTAAGTTTTAGTTTAAGTAGTAGCACTTGTAGTTCACTGTGAATCACTGAGCGGCGTCTGAAACGGTCTGAGCCCCGGTCTGGGGTGCACCGGAACCGGAAGTCACATTGTAGGCCATGTATAGTTTAGTACTAGTGTGCATGTTAACATGAACCGACAGCTTCTAATTAAAAAAAGGTTTTTTTTGGACTTACTTGCAATTTTTTCAAAGAGCATAATTTTAAAAAAGGGGCATAATTTGGAAAAAAGAGCATAATTTTAGCATAATTTCGCCAAAAAAAGCAATGCTACTAGCATAATATATGCTACTTTTACTAGCATAATCTATAAAGGCCTAAACTCTGAAGGACTATTCTTCTTAATTTGCTACAGGGGATTCCACGAGCTAAATGGCCCGCAGTGTTCATAATGCCTCCCCTCAGGCCCCCTAACCATCTCTTTTAAAAAAAAAGTGCACAACCATTTTTTTTTCTCATTTTTCTCATTTTCTCTGATCGTTTTTAATTTTTCTACCACAAAGAGAATCCAAAACTAGAAATAAAAGCCTGTACTACGCAGAACCTCAAAGGAAACAGGTAACGGGTCATTTGAAGACTGCGGAACGTACGAGAAAACTGATAGCCCCCAACGCCCCGCTTTGTTTAAATGAAATGACTGGTCCATTATTTCTTATTGGTGCCTTTAACCAAAGAATTTCAATTTCCACTTAAAACCTGCATGGACCCGGGCGCTTTCCCTTCAACTGTTGGAGGGGCACTTGCCTATTTGAAGGGAAGATCGTCCAAAGAACGAGGTTGGTATCTGATCGTTTCATACCCACGGTCGTTTCGTACTCAAATTCAGTCGATTCGTACCCAGTTTGAGTCGGTTCGTACCCGACCGCTAGTCGATTTGTACCCGTCCCAATACACACTCATTCGAAAGTCCTCGAGCCCAATCACGTGAACAGATGTCGATTGTTGTGCACGACAAGTTAGTCAAGTCAAGTGAATAAGATACAAGAAAAATTCTGTCGTGTATTTTTATGACATTCTTATCATGTATACTGAATCATTGCCTAGCGCGAGATAAGTGTGACATTTTTTAATATAAGTGCCTATCGTTTATACTTGTGACTTTCTTGAACAATAACAAATACTGTGTATTTTTTTCCCTTTGTTACTATCGGTAATAAATTTGTTTATTTTCGTTTATTCTGTTCTTTTAAATAACTTAATCAGAATGGATACCAAACGACTCAACCGGAGTGGGCACGTGTAGCTCTGACGAAGGGCTCACGCTCAAAATTAAACGTCAGCTTGAAAACTCTTTGCGGAAGCCAGTTTACATAATCAACTCAGTTGATAAAACCACATTACTTTGTTATTTTCCCCTACCAACGCAGCACCAGTTTCTTAACTTTTGAAACTTACCCCCTGGATGCGAATCGACCCGAAGCTGGGAAAGAAACGACTAGGCACGAAACTACTGGCCAATTTTAATTGGCCAATCGTTTTTTTTTTTTTTTTTTCAAAAATACAACTTAAAAGTTGTATTTTCGAAAAAAAAATCTCAGTATAAACTCAATACTTTCCTTTATATAATATGCTCCTTTACCCAGTTATAAGCAAAGTAGCGAGTACATCGTGGCAAGCAATAAGCAGTTTAGTTTAATATTTTTCTTCTCAAATATTCCATATAGTCTATCTCATTAGTTATCATTTTTCCACAAGGACGCTTCAGTTGAGGATTGAAGTTCTCCTTCAAGACGTACCCTCGGACAAATTTCGACTGCTTGGCCTACGCTTTTGCAAAATATTCGCCAGGAAGTAGGCACTCTTCCTCCAACATTTTGTTGTAATTTTTCAAGCTATGAACGTTAATCCAAAACATATTCCCAAACTTTTCAACTTTCTTCCAAAACGTTCTGTTAAAATAATCATAAAGTAACATATCAGCTCTGTTCCACTGCCGAATCTTATGCGCAAGTTCGTTGGAAATGTTCGTGTTGGCGTCGGAGGATTTCCGTTGGTTGAGCTTGAAATACACAACATCTCGATTGTCCCAACAGAGCTCTCGGGCGAGTAAAATGAGTGACTCGTCAAAGTACTCCATTAAGAGGACGAGGGGAAAACTTTCATTGATTTCATTTATCGCCTCTTTTATCTTTTCATCGGTAAAATATTTTTCTTTTTCCAATCCCAAATCAAAAAATTGTCCATTTTTCAACAAGTTTAGATATGGAAAAACAGATCCAGATTCTGAAAGATCTGAAAGTTTTGCTAGGGTATTGGTAGGATCGACAAAAAAAGTTGCTAGGGGATTTTTTGAAGCTGTCATTCCAAGCAACTGAGCAAACTCCATGTATGAAAACGTTGATTCAAACTGCGAGACAGGATTTCGAAGGATGGTAATAAAAACTGCATTCGGGCCCATCAACTCAGTCATGGATTTTCTGTTCCATCTCGCGTGATTGGAGAAAATGTTCGGCGTTTTCCCTTTCAGATCCGCTGCAAAAGTACTTTCAAACGACAGAGGCCAGAAGAAATTGAAGAAACCATCTTGGGGAAGAGCGAAAGTCAAGTTGTGAAAGTCTCCATATCTGTTGAGTATGTTTGTGATTGTACTGCTTCCTGTCTTGTGAGTTTTCAAGAAAAGTACGTGCTCTTTTGGTTGACAAGTGTCGGGCGTGGTACTGTCGACAGGAAGAAAAACAAGAAATTGGTCTCCTTAATTTTTGAAAAGAATACAAACGCTGTTTGAAAAGAAGCGATCGATCAGAGAGCTGCTAAAACCTTCCCTTCCCCATCCGTCCTCCCTTTGTACCCCAGCCACGCCGGTTAATTGTTGTTTCTTCAATTCAAATCAACAAACCTGAATTTTTCCGTTTTTCCCATGCCTGTTCGGTACTGTATGTACGCTTTGTCATCTGTCACGCTCATCATCTTTCCCAAGTTAGACACGTAAACGATAAAGATAATGAGGACAACAGTTGCCACCAAAAACTTCCTTGAAAAGATCGGAGAAGATGGAGACGCTGGATGCCATTTCATAAAGATCGCCATTCAAATCGTCCTTTAGTTATGAATAAACTCGATACTCCCCCTGAAGGACTAAAAGATTCTTAACTTATAGATTGATGCTGCATTTGTTAAGATGCAGTCATTTTATCTGCCGCGTCCATCTGAGAGCAGCAACTAAATAAAAAGATCCACTGAAGCTAGTCGCAAGGCGTTCGTTTTCATGCCTGATTGCCACCTGTCTGGGATTTTCGTGAATTACCCGCCAAGTATGTATTTAATAACCTTTCTACCTGTTTGATTAACACCTCGATGTTAGCTGAAGTGAAATCCCAGTCAGGTCTGTACTGTTTGACTTGTCGAGCAAAACTCATATACTTACCAGCGACTGCGATTTTTCCTTCGATCACGTATTATTTCCAAGGTGGCCAAGAATTCTTTTTAAAGGTAGTAGGGAGTGGAGTGTTTCAAAATGGTTCTTTCTCCCCCCCGATGCGAAGTCCCTCTTGAAATGTTGAAACATCTCAACTGACCTACTTTAGTGATCTTTAAAGGCTTTCAAAGAGAAAAAGTCACCATGGCATGCCGCATACAGAAACCTCCACTGGAGGGCTGTACTGCGCAAGCGCATTATCTCAAATTGCTGTCAAACTGTTTTGGAAAACTGTACTTCTCTTTAAGAGGCCCTTATTGATTTGTAGAAGGAAACAGGAAGAGAAAACAGAAAACAAATAAAATAAACAAAAACAAAATAAAAAATAAAATAAAATAAACAAAACAAATAAAATAACAAAAGTGCCATGCATTCGCAGAGATAACCAACAAATGAGTGAAGGTTTCTGTTAAAATTATACAGAATTTATTCTATAAAACAAGTTTGAACAATAACAATTATGAAAATAATCAGACTAAAGATTAAGAACAAAAGAACCTCAGGTTAAGAGTTTCAAACATAAAAACATGTCTGTCATTAAACATACTCTAGGAATATTGGTGGTGACAGGCAAACTGGTTCATCCTTAATCCAAGTTGTTTTCTTTGCTTATTTGCTGTTTCTTGTATGCCCCTTTTAAAATGATATAAAAAATCGACGAATGTGAGTTTTCATAGGCCAGACATTCAGTATTATTAGGATATAAAAACTTCCCTCTGCATTAATACCTTCCCTTGATCATACTTAAGAAAAAAGTCAGGCAAAGATTTCCTTGTACCTTTTTCATTTCTTAACATATTGAGTATAGACTCATTTAAGTCACACAGTTCAAATTGATCATATTGGTATAAAATTTTGGGGCACTCTGGAGTTGACATAAATAATCTTTTGACCAAACTAGAAGATTACTATGCCCCACAGTAAAACTTAAACAATCGCATGCAGTAATGCCAGATTCGAACCTGGCTAAACTTATTTATTTTTTTATTCCAACTGTAAATAGTGACTAAATGTAATGAATAACTAGTTTTACAAGGGTTTCAATGAAGGCAGTTTAGGACACTTTTACTACTCCTTAGAAGACCTTATAGGCCTCTTACCACAATTTGTATAGATTTTGTTTTTTAAGTTAGTGGTGACAGTTGCCTGTTCCACTCCTATTGGCATCTTAACCTTTCAACCCCTAATAGTGATTGGCTTCTAGTTTCTCCTCACAGTGACAGCCTTGAATCACATTCAAAGGTCACAAGAATAAAGGAAATGATCACCAATTTAATTAAGGAGCTCTGATTGTCAAACAAGTTCTCATTGTCAGTATCATAGACAAGGTAAAGAAAACACTGCAGAGAATATGAATACAGTTCTTATGGTGAAAGGGGTTAAATAAAACTTAATTGAAACCCCTGATTCAAAATAAAATGGTATTGATTATTGAATGTGCCATGTCCACAAACAGTGTTATTTGAGTTACTAAGCCCATCAATTTAAAACAAAATAATAAACAAGCTTGGTTGAGAAATAAACAGTTCTGCAAAATAATACTGAACAAATAAAAATTTTGATTTCATTTGTTATCACTGGTAATTGAACTAAGTGGAGGCTTTGTCTAGTGTTTATGTACATGTAGTTATACATGTGTCTCAACTTTTTTAAAGTTTCTTGCGATAAAAAATTAACCAATACTTTTCCTAATTGGGAATGCCATCGTCTCTTCTATATGAATTCATAGCTTTTCAACATTTAAAACAAACTCTACTTTGTTTACCATTCTATCCAATTTCCTGACCTTGAGTACATGTTAACTAGCAGAACTCAAACCACAGCTTCTTCTAATGAAGACAAATATAAACACGATGATGCCTCACAGCTGCAATTTAGCATTTTGTAGCAAGGCATGCAATGCTAGTCCATTAAAAGAAGTCAGCAATAAATTATTGAAGCTACAAAGTTTGTTTAGTTTTTCTTAAACTGTAGAAGGAGGAATAAAAATTGCAACAGAAGACTCTCTACAGTCTTGGCTTTCAGTAGATAATCAGCAGACACAGCCTCCACTCTGTGGTTGGGGTTCTGGGGGTGTGTCCTTTAGTTTAACTTCTATAAGATCATCTTTGTTTTGTTTATCTGTTGTACTTTCCATGCCTGGTAACGCTGCAGCAACTCTTCTGAACAACTGTTGAAACAACAATACACATGCCATGACCACATGCTTTTTTAACTGAAAACATATCAAGCTCTTTCCATGAGAGTAGAAAGAAGGGGAAGGCTAACTTGAAGAGTGTTTTGAAGATAGAAAATAACAATTTCCAGACTGATTTCAAAATCAAGAACTGGACCCTCATAGTTCCATTTTTATTATTTCCTTTTTGTAAGGTTATGAATATAATAATTATTGTTATAGTTACCCTTCAAATAAAGGATATAAAACATACCTGTTTGACATTGTACCCTGCCTTTGCACTCGTTTCTATGAACATCACATTTAATTCCTTTGCTTTTCTCTCTCCATCTTCTGTTGTAACTTGTCTGTATGAAAAAAAAAAAGAAAAAAAAAAACAACTTAAACTCAAATAATCATTGAAGTTGCAGGTGCAGTTGACATCAGTTTATCAACCTCAAAACCTGCAAATGGTTGTTGATGATTCCTTCCTCACAGTGCTGCATGGGTTTTAGAGAAAGTTGTTTTAACCCTCTCCACCAATACTGTGTATATATGAACTTCATATATTCATCGTATCTGATTTATCATCACCGGTTTATTATGAATCAACTTAACGGCCTGCTCCCAGTTGGCTTGTAAGTTCAATTGGTAGAGCGCTGCACTAGTGTCGCAAAGGTCAGTGGTTTGAATCCCGTAAAGGCCGAATTTTTTTCAGGTCTAATTTTCGCTATTGCATAAATAGCGCTCTCTACTGCGAGGATCGTGCATCATAGGTATCTATAACCGCAGTTCAAAATAAATGAACTTCATATATTCATCGTATCTAATACTGTATGTATCTCAGGGCAGTACTCTTCACTTGATAATTAAATAAAGTGTGATTGTAGCCACTAAAAGGCAAGCTTTTCTCCGGAAAGTAGTGACACTCACTTCAGCAACTATGCACAGGGAAGGTGATAATGATCAAGGGAATGATACAATGTCAAAATATTCTTAAGAGAGTAGCTGAAGATGAGGTCTTTTCAACTTTAATGATAAAATGTTCTTTTTCAAAAATAAATGTCTGTAAAATTAAATTTATTATTTATTGTATGTTCATATTTTCATGTAGTTAACTAAGACACATTATTACACGACTCGGGCAGTCAGAGGGCCAATAACTAAAATCAACCAATCAAAATGCTCTATTGCCGGTCCAATATTCTCTAAGTATTGGACCGGGCACTGTCCCGAATGGTCCCGCACTTGTGTCCCCTTGAACTTCAGTCGTATAATAAATCTCTTATTAACCAAGCTTGCTTGGGACCGTACCGAAAGAATATCGGCCCTTGGTCTTTTTTGTACGAACCTCGCTGCACTCGGTCCGTACTGTCAAGACCTCAGGCCGATATTCTCCCAGTACGGCCCTCGCGCATGGTTAATAAGATATATGTAAGGTGTTACCTTTTGTCTGAAAGATCTGTCTTGTTTCCAACCAACATTATAATTACATCACTTCCTCTCTCTGTTCTAACATCGTCAATCCATTTTGCTGTTTGTTGGAAAGAGTTATAGTCTAAAAAAAAGAGGAAAGAAAAGTCTTAATGATATGGGGGACTTGTGGTGAAGTAGTTCAAAGGTAAAGTCAAAGTTTTTATTGCTAGATCTGTACCACTATATTGAAAAGCAATGTGTTGCATTACTTGTTATATCATAAACTACGACAGCCACACTTGAGTCTCTGATGTAACTCGGTATTAAACTTCTAAATCTCTCCTGGCCTGCTGTGTCCCATAGTTGAAGTCTCACCTGAAGTTAAATAAAAAAATTGTCACTCCAGATGAAAAGTCTCCCTATTCTGCTTTCGCATCAACATGTACTGTGCCATGAGCACTAGGGTGCAGTGTTGTGTAAGTCTATAAACCTTCCCTTAATAAACAACCATGATTTGGGAAAGTACCCTTGGTTTGTCAGTTTTGGACCTGTACTTGACTAAGCAAACAGTTAACATGATACCAAGAAGTGTATTAAAAACAGACTAAAAAAACTTAAAACAGTCTTGTTTGTTACTAGTGCCACTTTTCTTAAGATTTAGCTTTAAGTGCATCCCAGATTACCAATAAACTAATTGCCAAGTAAATGGCTAGTACTTCCAAACTTGTTTACATGTTATTACAGCAGTTTCCATAGTTACTTAAGTACTCAGTTTGTCATTAAAGCTATGCAAGCTTTTAGTGCACATTCAGTCCCCACTCAATTAAATTTGCAAATGCAAAGCAGAACATGTTAACTCTACCTGTGAAGTGCTCAACTTAAACAGCATACAAGTAATCTTAAAAACCTACCGTTCTGTCTTCAAGATACATGGTTTTTGACAGGAAATCTATCCCAATTGTTGCCTGTGGAAAAGGGAAATAATTTAATATAGAGAAATCAAATCAGCAAAATGTGCAGCAATATTTCTAGTGCTTATACTGACCAGGTGCAAGTGAGGTTGAATCAAGACTCCAGGTTTTTTTCTAAAATGCATGGATATTCATCCAAATTTCCATAAGTGGATGTTCTTTTTAATGCATTGATATTTATTGAAATTTCCATTGGTCAGGAAGATAATTTTTGTACTCCAAGGCAAGATATACCGTGAAGGATTAACTGTAATGGTTTCAGTACCAATATACATATGAATGATGTGCAGTGGCATTTATTCCTGAATTCAAACTTCCCATCACTTACCAAATAAAATAAAATAAATAGTTTTAAAAACTGATCTTAGGGTTGCATCTGTCTGCTTGAGTGTCAGTGTTGAGTTATCAATAAAAACTCCCTTGATGGTATTTTTCTTTTCCTACCTACATTCAGGAAGGATAATGAAGTCAGCCTCGGTCTATAAATTTTTACGAAATTAAATCGTTTAATTCTTCCAATGGCTCCGCTAGATTATTTCCCACCACAACTGAGTTGAACAGTAAAACGAAAAATAATATTGATACCCAGGGCAGGATTGCAAAGTATGCTAAGAGTCGTATTATTGTCACCTCGTATACAGATGAATACTAAACTTCTAAGCATATTTCGCGAGTTAAAACACACATATGAAAACTCGAGGGCAAGACGAATCTTATTTGGAAAGAGTAATTAAACAGGTGAAATAACTCTCTCTCCAACTCACCTGGTAAGTGTTGTCAAAGCTGTCGTACATGAATCTTGTTATAAGAGACGTCTTTCCCACTAAAAGTAGACAACACAACCATTAACTAAAGCCCAGAATGACCCGGCCTACTATTTGTTACCGTGATCAACTGACTTTTCGAACAACACCAGGTTGTCAATGAAAACTCACCGCTCTGTTCGCCTAAAAACACCAACTTGAATTTTCTAAGAGGATTGCCAAAGTCGGAAGACATGTCTGCGCTACGTATAGAATCGAAAGTGCACTGTAGAACCGCAAAGGGATATTTTTGTACCGAATATTGCACTATTTTTATATCTCCAATCGAAGCCACGTAGAAATTTTGAACGCCATCTGCGCTTGCGTAACTGGTACTTTGCCTGAACCGACGTCACCAACTTAGGAACCAAGCCTTGGCTGTTGTACAAGAAATGGCGGCGGATTTGAAAAGATGCGGTGAAATGTGCTCAATTGATTTAATGGTTCTGTACGAAAACGATGGTTTATTTATCAAGTATGGTGATGGCCAATCTATTGAACTGTCTCCTTGCGGATCGGCGTTTGTTCATCGTCAAACAGCCTTGAGTAGCCGTGCCCAGTTTCGACAACTGACGAGATTTGCCGTGAGCTCGTTTCGATCGAAAATAAAAGAGGCTGTTAGGATTCGTAATTTGTTTGCGGCCAGACCATACCTGTCTAAGGAACTAGCAGATCCACAGGACCTTAAGGTGTGATGCTCCACGATCGTAGGGAATTCGTTTAGCGATGTCCCACATTTATTTTTTGCCCATTTTTTTGATCTTTGCAATTTTCCTGTTTCATTTATAGTTGTACACGTATATCATCTTCCAGATGGAAGTTAACTCAGTGGTTGTTTCGATAGTTACATATTGCTCATGCGTGTAGGTCATTTTACAAAATTGAAATTCTTCAGGTTGGCTACAAAGATGTCACGCAGTGTTGTTGGCCTGATGAAACTTCCACATGTCTTATTACAAAAATGTCAGATGGTTCAGCGTGTGTCATATCTGTAGATGGCTTGGCAAGCTTAACTCTTATGCCTCACAGACAAACGTTTATTGTTAAGTTCCTTGCAGAAGTTAGATACAACTCAACCCAGGTAACATGTTAACATTATATAACTAAATATAATAATAACTTTTATTTAATATATAGTGCTCTATCTTAAATTCATGGCGCTTTACAACACTGTACGGGGACTTTACCAGACTGCTAAGCAGTTTACAATGAAATAAAGGCAAATATAACAGATACCCCCTCCCCGCAATTCCCAGTAAACAGGCGAGACCACATCACAGTAATCTCATGAAGTGGGTTCATTAATGTCCCCTGCCTAACCAAATCAACTAATTAATAGATCCAGGATTAATAGAAAGTTCATTAGCCCTCTTACACCTAGAAGTGATCAACAGGTTATTTCACGATACAATATTACTGCATCTTCAAAGGCTTTGAACAGACAGGTGATAAGAATGATGTAAAACATCAGCTATGGGATGTTGTTTGATTTAAAACCAAATTCTCATTGCTAGCAGTACAGGTATATGAAATGTACTGCAGACAGTAAGGAGATTTGCAATTTGTGCGTTTGTAAAGATCAGGGAGTAGGAGAATTGATAGGTCGGAGGAGATAGTGGCCCATTCACACAAAGTCATCTATAAACAATTTGCTGGTTATTTCAAATATTGACTTAAACAAAGGGAAAAATGAAGTCAACAAGACAATATTCATCCATTGCAAAACTTAAAATTTTATTTGCACCACACATACAGTACAAAATGTACCTCTCAGTATATAACTTTGCCTGAACTAGATCTAAAGGGCTGTCCAAGGTTGCTATAGAATTATACAGACTCCCCTTGTGAGGAAGAGCAGACCACTGATGTTTTTGATTATTAAAGCTTTCTTTCTAAGTTTTTTCCCTGATGGAGTCATTGCACTCTGCCATTGCTACAACAACTGTAGGTAGAATGGACCATCACCATACTTCTTAGTCCCTTCAATCTTCCTGTCCCCCCCCCCCTCTCTCTTCCTGGGTTAAATGGGTACCAGTAAGCTGTCAATACAAAGTGGCAGTGTTTCCTGAGAGGAAATCCGTCATGCATTGATTAACCCTCTGACCCCTAAGAGTGATTAGCATATAGTTTCTCCTTAATACATTATCACTCCTGAATTACACATTGAGGTTACGAGAATGAAGGAAATGATCAGCAACCAAAGAAGCATTTGACCGTTGAACAAAATCTACTTGTCAGCTCCTTACAAAATGTAAAGAGAACAGTATGGAGAATACATATACTGATGTCAGGGTGTAAAGTAATTTACTCTTTCTGATCTCACTATTTCAGCGCTTCATTTTTCTTTCTTATACTTAATAGGTGGCAGAAAACAAAGTCTTGGAGATGCAACATCAGAAGCATTATTTTACTTTGCAAGAAAAAATTCATTCAGTATTTTCCTATCCTGAGGCATGGAAGTATCCCCTTCAACTTGTTTTTGATGCAGTCAATAACAAAGACAAAGATCCTTCCTGCTCCCTGCACAAAGTAACAACTTTACCAGTCTCTCTGCCAGTCACATGTAATGCTTCTCATCTTCACACTTGGAACATTCAGGTGTTACATTGTTGGTCATCTAGTTATTCTTTATTCAATTTGCATCACTTAGTGAACAGACTGTAATCCGCAAACAGTCATAAGTGGCAAACACCAGTTTGTTCTGAGATTTTACCTCCTAACTGGTGTCACATTGTTGGTCATCTAGTTATTCTTTATTCAATTTGCATCACTTAGTGAACAGACTGTAATCCGCAAACAGTCATAAGTGGCAAACACCAGTTTGTTCTGAGATTTTACCTCCTAACTGGCCTTCACTTTGTCAGTGCCATAAGTCTCAAAGTCGTGTCATTAATTCCTATTTCTTGATTATTAATCATCTACATTCTACTCAATAAACAAGTTTTTACCATAACCTCTCTCCTAGATGCCACATGATGATAGCTGCCTGAACTGTGAGTTCCTCTGGAAGCCAAAAGTGATTTGGAAAGATGGTGTCACTTATAGGTGTGTTTCAGTTGTACAGTTTTTCAGTCACCAGCTCCTCAAATGATACTAACTTCATGTATTCAAATGTTTGTTAGCTTGCCAGTCTGTTATTATAAATGTACAATTTACTCTTTGAATGAAAGTAGTTCTTGTGGTTGCAGAGTTTTTGGTCAGTCACCTGGCTTGTTCACCATTGAGATTTACCCAGTGGATGGCTCTGTTATAAGGTCACAACAACCAAATGGAAGATATTTTGATCACTGGTTTGTTCATAACAGAGAACAAACTGGCTTGCAGGAAGTTGAGATTCAAGAACGAGTTTACTCTGCTGATAAACCACTTCCAGACAGAACACTGCAGAGAATGGAATATTCTATTGGTCGACTTGTGAAACAAGCCACAAGGTGCAACTTTTTAAAGCCACTCAAACAGAAGTTTATTATTATTATTACTACTACTGTAAATTCTCTTCTAAGCCCCCCCCTCTAATGAGCCACCCTCCCTCTAATAGGTCCCCCCTCATTAGAGGAAGAAACTTATTAAGCCCCTATATTAAGCCCCCCACCCCTCCCCCTCAAAAAACAAAAATTCAAAATAACACTCCATGGCAGTAAGTACGATAAATTTATTCAAGTACTGTAATTTTAGTTTATAGTGAACATCAGGCTAAATTAATATGCCCCCCCTCTATTAAGCCCCCTCTTTTATAAGCCACCCCCCCCCCACCACAAACAAAGTGCCTGAAATAAACAAGCCCCTAGGGAGGGCTTATTAGGGGATCTATGGTATTATTCACATCAGTTAGTTGAATTGATGATTGCACTCAGTCTGGGCAAAAACTAGCAATTTCATGTTGTTTTAGATACATAGAATTCCTCAATAATGCTGGACATCAAGGAGGAGAACGTTGTTGTTGGAAAGAGGTGTGGTGTTCTTTGTTTTAAATTAGTTAATGTAAATTTAATATTTACTTAATTTGTTATATCAATAAATAATTGTGATTGTGAGTGATGTCTTTGCTTGAAAGTGCAACATACTGTTGATAAACCAATTGTGAGCTGAGCTTTGAACCAAGCAAAGGATATGATGCAAAATATTAAACAAATTGACAGTGGTTTYGCGTGGTCTGTACCCTTATCAACAATGATATTTGTCATCACAGTGGTCATAATATTTTGGACTCACAAGGTGCAGCCAAGTGAGTCTGCAACATTTTGACAAGGCCACCATGCAACTTGCTTCAAAACATCATACAAATTAATTAATACAACAATTACCTGAATTTTAATCAATGGTAGACATCAGAATCCACACCTGTATTATCCAAGCCATGTTGCCCAGCACAAATTGTGGATGCTGCAGATGTTCCAGGCACAGGCAGATTCAAGGCTTACTCAAATGGACACATCAATGTAGTGTTCAGTGACAGAACAATCCTGGATATAAGGAATCCAAGTGACCATGAACAAAATGATCCACAGAACTGCTGGTGTCAGCTAGTTCTTCCAAATGGGAATGTTCAGCAGTTTAAACTGAATGATGCAAAGCATTGTGGTTTCTACAAAAGGTACAATGTCATGAAGGAGGAGGCAATTTAAAATTGCTCACTTGTTTCTGGACAAAGTTATATTATGAGTGAAGCAATGAAATGGCATCTTTGTGAGGATGCCCAGTGTAATACACAAGGGTCTCAATAAAAGATGGCACTTGATCGATTATCCAGCATACTTTGAGATGCAAAGCCCCAATTGTTATGCTCTCCTTACTTCACTTGACTTTTCTTTTCATTTGTTACCATTGGCTGCTTCCCATTTTATTGAGAACCTCGAGAGCAATAAGGGTGAGATAATCAGATGTTAACTACAAGGTTATAAATACCCTGAAGCCCCTGTGAGTCAACAATGCCAACCCACACCTAGTATAATCTACACACCTGGCCACTGACACAGCATTAACCCTCCCCCTTAAGAAAACGCTGTCCTTTGCATTGACCTTTTGTGAGGATGCTGAAACATGTAGAATTTCTGTTAGCCTTGACCCGTTCATTTTTTTAAGCGCATGTTGTTCTTGTCCAGGTATATAGAAATAGCTTTGCATTGGGCAGAGTGGGTGGTTGCCACACCCTCACAGAGGAGAACCTTTTACAAAGACACAATATGGGACCCTGAGAGAAGAAGGTGAATGCTTCTATCCTTAATTTGAATGCCACTAAAAAATCTTGTAACTTTAACCATAGAAAGTACTGAGCATCACAATTTACACACCATGCCTAGCTCAAGAGACAGATTTGGGAAATGTTAAAAGTCTCCACAGCATGAGTAAGCTTGAAAAAAGTGTAACATTTTGTTATATTTAACAGGGCTGTTGACATTGAAATGGAAAAAATTCAGAGATTCAATTGTATCCTTGGTGTCATTTCTCATAAAAATAACTTCACCCGTCAAATGTTGACAACTTACATGTAAGACAATAATTCACATTCTTACTAAAATTATTACCACTATCATTTAGTAACCTTTTTTCATGTTTGGTAACCAGTGAGGACTAACACATCATAAACAGGCATGTTTTGTTACAATGGACTGGAGTTTGTAATTATTTTTATTTGCAATCTTTAACTTAGTGGTTGAACTGTACTTCAGACATTCATAATCAACAGCATGTTGCACATTTGGTGGGAAAAAAGTTTCAGGATAGTCAGGTAAAGACAATATTATTATAACATTACTTTAAGTTTCTCTTTTAATCAACTGAGGCTCTGGAAACATTGTACAAAAAATCCTCTGATCAGAAAGGTTTCAGATCAAGGACTATTTTAATCTAGTTTTCTCTTGACCTTTATCATTATTAATGTACAGAACATGTATAAAATGTTCAGTTTTCTGTTAATTCTAACCAGGAGGCTACTGAAAAGAACAGGATGGAACCAGGCTCTGGCCAAGATGACAGGGAATCTTTGATCAGGAAAGTTCTGGAACAGACAAATGAGGCCATATGCCATATTGATGGTCTACTAACTACATTAAAATGTTCATCTTAAAGGAAATGCTTCCACTGTTATTGCACTCACTATTTACATCTTTGGCAGCACACATCTTTGAAAATGTTTTGTGATCTGATGCACACATAAACTCCACAATATCTTTTCTGCTGACTATGAATACAAACTAAAGACATAAAAGGAAAGATGAGCTGCTTATTGAAAGGAACTGACTAGCCATGTAGGAAACCATGTCTTGTATGATAGACTGATGGGAAACATAGTATGTAACAAGTCTTGCTTGAAGCTAGCCGATGCTCAATATTGCCGACCTACAGTCAGAATTACAGGTTTTCATTTCTTTTTCTTTTGAATTGCTACTGCTGTTTTGCTAGAATGCAGCTGTTCCATTTCCTTCCAAGAATGCCATAAAAGGAGAAAAGGAATGACCACCCAGAGGCCATTAAAAAACACTAAATAGCACCACAGGTACAAATCAGAGCTTGTGTCTAAACTGGGACTACCCACCAACCATTCAGGACAAAATGTCATCCAACCTGGGAAAATAATGATCCTTATTAATGTAAATAATTATTTCAACATTTCTAAGCAAATAGACAAGAAAATTACCAATGATCATACCTCCATACAGCTCACAAACACACAGAGTGATCTGTACAAAATGTCTGTTGAAATGTGAAACAATTCAACTTCAATGATGCCAAACATTAATAATTATGTGCAAACAATGGTAACTACTTCAGATTAAATTTTTTTTAATGTTTTCTTCTACAGTAACTCATTCCCTCATTTTTGTCATCATTATTTTGAATGTGTAAGTGTCTGCAACCTGGAGACTCCCCCTTTTTTTTTTTTTCACTTTGTGTGTAGGTTTTCCCTGTCTACAATGAATTAACACTTTTTTCATTCAGCTCAACTCCTTGTATACTACAACAAAAAAATCAGTGAGACTGCATAACTTTTAGAAGATATTGCAGATTATGTGATGCCTTCTAGTATCCTATGCACTTCAGAAAACTTTGCTACCCATAAATATTGGATCCAAACTCAAAGCAATTCTGATACAAAAAGGTGTCTCTTGTGTGCTTCTTTCACTTGCACACTCGCACTTCCTCTTAACAGGTCACATGACCTGGGGGCAACTTTTGACATCTTTGGGTATACAGATTTCCTATCAGTCTTCAACTCTATTTCATAAAACAATATGACAGACCTGTAGTGTGTGTTGTAAGAGATGGCATAAATCAACAGTAGAGCTAGTGGTCCTGTGAGAAAAACTGTCAGAATCTCCAAGGAAACAATCGTTGGATCAGAGTGTAGCCACCTTGAATCAGCTTTGCCATATTCCTTCCCTGAAATCAGAATTAATACATAATCATAACTCATATGAGGATGTTGTTTGGTGTGACAGCAATTGAAGCCAATGACAGCCATTGGAGTTAATAAAAAGTTTAATTCACAAACACTGATGGCACAGTTACTCACACAATTCAGCCAAAATGTGGTTGGAAGTGTTAACAGATCCAGTCAGAGAGAAGTACACAAATGGTCCTTCCTATGAAAAAAAAAACATAAAAGTTTTTTTGGTTGACTTAATACAAACATGGACAAATGTTTTAATAGTGAAAAGGTTCCTAACATTTTCCTCACATGAATTAACCTTTGCTATTCTGCAAAAAAAAAAAAAAAAAAAACATCATTTGATCCCCATTTCACCTAAGGGAGGGGTATACAAAGCAACTGTCAAGAAAGATTTATTGAGAATTTAATCATACACTGGCTTTAAAACGTTTTCAACACAAAAAGTTTGAGGAAAATTTTGGGAAAAAAAATATGGTACATTCATGCAGCTGTGGAAGGTCACATTCCAGAATTATTAATTTTCCTACAGGTTCACCTCTACAAAGAAATTCATGCATTGGCTTTGAGTACTTTTTCTTGAGGAAAACGAAAAAATTTTTTTTTTAATTAGCCTTTCTTTTGCTGCTTGTTTCTATTGGTTTCTAAATACCTTTTGAACTTCTCATTTCCTTCCATTCCTGATTTGTACAAAGTTATAGCGGTGTCAATATTTTCACCTACCAGAGAAAAATGTGTCATCGCATCATACAACAACCATGTAATTATCCACTTCTCCAACGATGGAAGCTTGCGACCAGCAGTAAAAGCTAAAATAATCGCTAAAAATAGTTGCAAAAAAGTAAACGAAAGACTTAGAGCAGAAGTCACATTTGCATCCGAAAGTGCCAAAAAGCGCGCCATAACAGTGAGACAGTTTTTACTTCACGTACGACCAACTGAAGGTGACATATGTGTCGAAAAGCGCCATTTTGACCGTGGAAACTGGAACGATCGATGTGAGTAGATCGTAGCCGTTGGAGGTGGACAGGAGTGTTTATATTAAAAACTACTTTCTACTCGTTCTTGTCTGCCTTTCATCGAATTTAACAGGTGATTTTATACAGCAGAAGTGGTTGCCAGCAATTCAGGTGAGAATACCTTTGATGAAATCAGCTACTTTGCATGCAAACTCCGCATTCTTCCTCATCATATCAGATGCTCATGAAATTTGCAAATTAAAGGTGAAAGACTCAAGATTTCGAAGTTTCTGTTGCTCTAACGCCGTTATTTTTCTCTATTTGGATAATTTTCTTGGATTGCTAGTTACTATACTTGTACAGGTTGGAAGAATCATTCTGTATCTTGAACTAACATGCATGGTTATTAACATATGTGAAGCACTGTCTAGGAAAATGGATTGTAATTCAATCCATGCGACCGAGTTCATCAACGCTTTGAAATCTACTCGTCGCTGCCTTACAGGTAGCAATTAGGAGTAAAGTTTGTTCATATATATGTTACTTAGTTACTGGAATCTCCTCAATACGTCGTATGAAAATGAGAATATTCTTCCGATTGTAAACTGTGATCATGAACTGCATTGATGTGTAGCGAATAATTTTAAGTATGTTCTTAATAAGCTTAAAAAGAATCGTGTCTCTGATTTGGCAGTTTTTAATGAATTGATCTTAGGACTAAATTTTACAAACGTCATAATATTTTCTTTCTTAAAATCGCAGCTCTTGATTCCGATATTTTCAAGACTTCAACAGGTAAACATACGAAGTAGTATATGCAAATATGTAACAAGTGGTTGTCTGACACAATCAACAGCTTTAGAAAAATTAGTACGATTGAAAATGCTATTATTGTGGGCAGACATTTGTTCTACAGAGTCCTTGAGATTTTTTGCGAGAGCACAATTTTTTAAAGGGGCTTTCATTTTTCACCTTTAGTTGGTTAGTTTCGATTTTGAAGTATCTCAAGGCATTTCAAACCTTTAATGTCAATTTTCTGCAAGAAGGGAAATTTTTCAGGTGTAATTCTTATGACACATGTACTATGAGGTTCAGAGTCTGAGCACTTAATCTTGCAGATAGAATTCCTTGAAGTCTCATCCTCAAAATATGACCATCTCTTAGATACTAATTGAGTTTTACAAGCATTTGACAGCAACTGCCCAGTTTCTTATATATGTACAGTATATGAAATGACCAGAAATACCGATGATCATGGATGTAAATTCATCCTCCTTTATGTCAGTGGTCTATTCAAAGAAGAGGAAAATCATAACAGTTTTCAAAAGTTTTAATGACAAATAAAGTTGCACATGAACCCATAGATAAATATATGTTACTGACCAGCCGTAGGTCCATATTGGGAAAAACTGTGCCCGAGGTCTTGGATACCTCCCGAGGCCTACGGGCAGTACTCAAGACAGGGCACAGTTTTTCCCAATATGGACCGACCTATGCCGTTGAATAACATTTTTATTTTTTTCTAACACATAAAAAAATGATTGCCATAAGAACCCGGATGATTTAAGGTTACAATTATGAGTTTAATTACGGGAAAATCCTCCATTAACTTAACAGTTTGATAGCGAATGGATGATAAAGAAAACAGACGTTATCCAAATTAAAGAGAAAGCTTTCACCGAAACATTTTTATTTGTAAAGGTAACTTAAAAGGCTTCTGAGCAAACTTTGAAACATTTTTTGATAAGTAACTGTCATGATGTGACACCTGTCAATTGAAGAGGAAATAAGCGTAGCCTTTGAATAAACAACAGTACTGGTACGACAAACACGCAAGAGTTAAATGACTATGCGATGATCTTCTCGTTAAAAAAAAACACTCGGAGATCTCACGAAAAGTATTACTTATTTCCAATGACGATTAATCTTCGAAGATTTACCTCTGTTCCGTTTTAAAATGTCACTGCAAGTCAAATTGTAAGGGAATTCAAATGTGTGCTTTGGAGTTGTCAGTCTGCTTGTTTGTTTTCTTTAATGGTGTGTGTAAATTGGTTCTTCTTCCACCAAAAGGCTGAAGTCAGTGAGACTCTTTCCAGCTAGACACAAGGGGATTTAATGCGACTTTTATTCAGCGAATTCCTTCGGTTACTGTGGTGAAATTCATGGTAGAAATGTCCAAATTCAAGGGACTTGTAAAGGATAGGCGAAAGTGTATTTATAAAAGAAATCAAAACTTCACTCAACTTTTCAAAAACAAACAAATTGGGTTGAAGAATTCAGATATTAACAATTGAGAGACACATTGATTAACGAAATCGTGAACTACAACTACCTCTCGTTTTAAATTTCTGAGTTACATTTTCTGAAGGACTATTAAGGTGGCTCGTACCAGTTTCCTCGCGTGGGGAACAGGTCACTCTTGCGTGATGCTCATGAGAGAAACGTGCAAAAGAAATGCGAGATCAAAAGATGAAAATTCAAAACAAAGATGGCGGCGCATGGAATTTTTTCTACTTTTGTGAGAAGTTTACCTAAGAGCTTGTATTTGATGTGTTGAGTGGCTACTGTGAATGCAGGAGATAGAAACTAAGATAAAGAAGA